CTTCTGGCCTCTGTGGGCACTGACATGCATGTGTACACACATTCACCCAGACAGATACACACAAACATATGAATAAAAATAAAACAATAAAACATTTAAAAGATGAGAAGTTAAATTTTAGCAAAATGTTATTTGCAAAGAGAAGATAGATAGAAAAATCAATATTTCGTGAGCATAATATTAAGAATATTGTGTAAATGATTTAATTTTTTGTTCCTTGCAATGTGATAAATATCGTGAACATTATCTTTAACAGAAAACAACCTCAGACAATGAAAGGCGCTTACCCAAATCTGTTTGATTCATAAGGGGGGCTTGTAAAATACAAACAAAATGATTTCCCCCAGTCTATTTCCCTCTATTCACTAAACTTGAACATCATAAAGAAATAAAATAGCTGTGTCTAAAACTAAGACTCTCTGATAAAGTGTCCATTTGCTGTACACTAAATAAACATCCATGTACAAGTTCTCTGAGCACATGGAGAGTGTGCTTTAGATGCAGTGTTTATTTTAGTATCCAGGTACACATGTAAAGGAGAGAAATGACAGAAAAAATCAGCCACATCTCCGCTGTAGCCTCCAGGTGTTTCAGCATTTGCTATCACCCCAAGAGACTGCTGTGAAAACAGATTTCAGCTGCGCTCTTCGAAGGTGACTTGTGTGAGCACATTGCTGCCAATGTAACTTGCATCTACCTAGGCACCTAAATCTAACCCTGGCCTCTGATTTGCCTTCAGATGCATTCATACTGACTCCAATCAATGTCCAAAATCTTTTAATATTTTAATACTGCTTAATTCTTTTATTTTGTTTCATATTTTATTATGTTTTATTTTATGTGTATGAGTGTGTTGCCTGCATGTATGTAAATGCACCCATGTTGTGCTATACCCATGGTCATTAGAGGAGGGCATAGCATCCCCTGGAACTGGAGTTACAGACAGTTTTTAGGCACTGTGTGGGTGCTGGGATTCCAAACTGGGTCCTCTGTAAGAGCAGACAGTGCTCTGAACCACTGAGTCATCTCTCCCTCACCAATTGCTTAATGTTTTATGACAGTTAATGCGCCAGTTTCTAACAGCAGAGCTCTCCACATTTCATGAATTCAAACCCCTTCTCTCATTCTTCCAAGCTATGTACCTTGACCAACATGTATCTAACTTCACTTTTCTTCAGTTTCCTCCCCTGTTAGATAAGAATAATAACAATCTAAAATCATTGGGCTTTGACAGCATTAAGTGTCAACTTGACTCACTCTAGAATCCTTAAAAAGCGAGTCATTGAGTAATTTTCTTTATCAAGTTGGTCTATAGACAAGTCTGTAAGGAACTGTCTTAATTGCTAATTGATGCAGGAGAGGAGCCCGCTATGGGCAACACCATTTCCTGGGAACTGGGTCATGGGTTGCATTAGAAAGCAGACAACCTCTGAATTCAAACTCTGAGGCTGAGAATGTTAAATTTATCCCCGTTTCAGTGACTGCACCTTCCTCTGGAAGCTTGGTATGATAGGAATCATCTGTAAAATGTGTATTTTCTTTGGCACCCAGACAGAAGCTTGCCAGAGAAGACATTTAATTAAGAATGTGGGGGAGGTAATAATTTTGGTCTGACATGTTTTATCATTACTTCAAAGTTCCAAAACTTACTGTGATTTTTAAGATTGTGGTCTCATAACAAGGTTTATATTTGAAGCTAGAGGTAATTTATCTTTTATCAGCCAAGGGTTTTAATACAAGGAAATATATTATTCTTTGGGGAAGGGCCCATTAAGTGTACTCTGTAGATATAAGTCCGTCGATTGTTTAAGCTGCAAGCATCTTAGCTACTTTCCTTAGAAACAACCTTTGTCCATTGTTTAAGACCTTGAAAATTGATGCATTGTCTTTTGGGAGCTTAGACAGCTTTATTTAAGTTTAACTTTCTCTGGAGAGGCATAGAAATAATGAAATGCAATTCCTTTCTTGAACATAACCATGTACATAGCTTCCAGTCTTCCCTGGTGCATAAAGTAAATTTGATAAGAGCAATTCAAATATTGTAACGATTAATGTTGATTTTAAAAAATGTTTCAAAGCAACCTGTGTCAGCAGGTTTAGGGAAGGGTGATGATTATCATCTGAGAGTGGATTTTCATTGTGTTATACTCAATTTGTTAGAATTTCTTGTTTTATATTTACAGGAGCACTTGGTTTATAATAATTTTGAGAAGTATGAAAAAAGGGGGTCATGAAAGGGGCTTTTGGGTGTGCATACAGGGGACACACATCATGTTTGGGATTATGATTGCAGAGTTCTTGGATTATGTAGCCTTGTGAGAATCCATTCTGTTTTCTATCACTGTATAACGCTAATCTTCTTAGTGAAAAAATACATTTCTCTAATATCAGATTTTATACTTTGGTGTTTACCCTTAAAGTCAATTCCAAGTCTAATGAAGACTTAGACAAACATCCTCCCCTCCCCTTCTATCTCCACTGTGATGGTCTAATCAAAGCGTTGCCTTTCTTATACTACCTGAATTCTCTCTCTCTCTTCTCCCATTACCCCTTCCCCTTCTAAACATCAAACATGAGTTCAATATCTCCTTCAGGCCTCACTGCATTTAGAGATAACGACCCTAAATAACACTTGAGGGTCAGTGTGCTAACGCTCAAGGGAGGGTTAGGACATGAATGGTGTTAAATAGCAGGATCAGGTGCAGCTACATTTACTCAATCATTCTTCTATGTATTTTTATGTAAAAGGAGATAGATAAACATTTCTTTATCAGCTCATAGTCCAGCTGTAAACAAGTCTTTTGTTGTGGCTCACCAAGTACAAATATATGTTTTTAGATCTCTGACTCCTTTTACAGTAATGTACACGGATCAGTATCTGATCCCTCTAAGGGGAGCAGAAAGGTATCTTTTAGATCAAAATCATCAATTATTGAAGAAATAAATAGAAACCTGCTCACAGAATATAGGCAGTGAGCGTCCTCCTTTGTTTATCCACGAGATTCTAAATGTAATTTAATTATCCAGTGGCATTATGAGTCAATTGAATTACGTAGCAGGGCATAGCAGGCCTAAATTTTTATTTACATACTTTGTTTAAAACAAGGTTTAGGGCACTTTTGAGAAATGAACTCATGTAATACTTAGATTGGTCTCCATGTGTGACATCCTAACTCATCACTGAAAAAAAAAATGTAGCCACAGATTGCTCATACTCAGGGAGTAGTTTGAGGAAATACCCAGAATAATCCTAGTAGAGATTTGTACTCAACAATTTTGATACACTACTGATTTAAAAATTTATCTTTTATTCTGAAAAAGAAACTAAGAGCAAGAAAGTAGATTTAGGGAAAATAGAGAGAAGCCAAAAGAAACGATTTACAAATGAATATGAACAGTATGCCCACAGTGTCAGTCACTTTCTGGGGTGCTCAGAGGTCAGAATCCCATTTTTTTTACCCCATGTCAGCTCCTTCTTTCACTAACGCTCACATGATAGCAATTCAACTGATAGAATTCAGGAATGGACAGCGAATCGTAGCTGGGAACATGTAACAGAGCCCCCAGGCCGCCGCTCTGTGCTTCTTACTGGAGTATTCTCTTGATAACCCCTGGTGAATGTATTGCTTGACCCTTGTGTAGCAGCTGATTTTTTTAATTAATTTTATTTTATGTGTATGAGTGTATTGCCTACATGTATGTAAGTGCATATATGTCATGCAATGCCACAGAGGACACAAGAGGTCATTGAATCCCCTGGAACTGGAGTTACAGACAGCTGTTAACTGTCATGTGGTTGCTGAAAATTGAACCTGGGTCTTCTGATAAAGCAGTCAGTGCTTTTAACTGCTGAGCCATCTTTCCAGTCACAGTAGCTTTTTTTTTTTTCATTTTTTTTTTTTGGTCTTTTTGAGAAGGGGTCTCCCTGTACCCACAGCTGTCCTGGATTCACTATGGAAACCAGGCTGGCTTCGAACTCACAGAGCTCCGCCTGCCTCGGCCTCTGGAGTGCTGGGATTAAAGGCGTGTGCCACCACGTATTTATGAAATTGAGGAGGGATAACTGTTTGAAAGAGACAGAGTAAGACTTTCCAGTACTTGTGATGAATCGTCCTCAATCTGAAATTCATTTTGGACTTGGAGAAAACAGTACTTACTGCAGAAGTGCTGATGCATTTTCCCACTGAAGAGCTGGTAGAAGGAATGGATTTGTGTGGGTGAGACTCGGGGTGTCTAGTGTTTGAAGCTAGCTGGGTACACCGAGGAGTCCAATGATAAAAAAAAGTCCATTTATCATGCATTGCGAAAGCTCCAACGTTGCGCGTTTCTCAGACCCAGATTATCTGGTTTTTGATTAATTATGAAGAGGATATATTTTGATGAATTATGAAATACATTCAATTAGGTGACAAAATTATGCAAGATGGTTTAAAAAATTGTTAGAAGCCTTTCCTTATCACAGCACAAAGTTGAATGTTTATGTCCACCGTGTAAATTTCCACACTCTTTGGGTGTCTGGGTTTACCACGAGTACCTCTCAGCTGAGTCTCACTGTCATGAACCAGTAGTGATGAAGTCCGATGTAGTTCATCTTCTTTGCACTGTTGCCTTAACCTTAACACCATAGACTATTTTTTTTTCATGTAGGACCACAGTTTTACAGAGGCTTACCCAAGACCAAAGAATGGGAATCTAACTGCTTTTTGTTATATTTGAACATAAATGTCTATATATTGGGGGTGGAACTATGGCTCAATGGTTAAGAGTGTGTGCATCCCTTCCAGAGGAACCGAGTTCAGTTTCTAGCACCCATATGGGGCAGTTAACAATTTCCTGTCCCTCCAGCTACAGGGTATCTGACTGACTGAATTCTCTTCACACACACACATATATTAAAAATAATTAGTAAAATAAAATGTCTATTAGTGTGTATATTTTAGAAATAATCACTCTGTAGTTATCTGAACCACCTAAACTAATATGCACGCTTCTATTTTCAGGGGCAAAGGACCACTAAAGCATACCACAGATGTGATATGTGCGGCTAAAATGATAGCAGATTCGGGATCAAGGATGGATGTCCTTGCTCGGCAGATTGCTAACCAGGTATACCACTTGCAAATGAACGTGGCGAAAGCCTTGCCTAAGTGCTCTTTACCATTTAAGCAGTGAGCAGAGCAAAAAAATGTTGCTTTTCTTACTCTAATGTTTTCTATATTAAAATTAGTATTAGGAATATTATAACATTGTAAATATGCTAGTAGGACAACTAATTATAAGAGTTTAATTATTTTAATTGGTTACATTTTAACTTTTTAATCAGATCATTTTAAAAATGATCATTGTAAGATTCAAATAAATTTGTTTGCTTTGTCTGTAATAGGATAATAAATGTTTTCTTTCTTTTCCTTGATGTTTTAGATTGTTTAATTTTGTTCTTCAAAAATAAAAGGATTTTGAGGTCAACAATACTTCATAATAATTATTAGATTACTAAAAAGAAGATATCAAATGTAGGAAATGTATAATTCTTATACAGACTCTTATGTAACTCATTCCCTTCCATTGGCTTTCTCACTTTTAATTCAACTTTCTAAGCAGCATTTATATTATAATGTTATCATTCTGAAGGAGCTCTTTTCAGTTGTATATAAAACAAATTGCAACCTCATGAAAATCAGAATTTCCTAGCATAACAAATGACTTTGAGTCCACACTTGATTATTGTTGTCCATATTTGGGATTTTATTCCATTAATTTTCCTAAGAAAGGCTAAATATTAGTAGAAAACATAACCCTTCCTACTTTGGACAGATTTGCACACACCAATAACTTTTTAAGTACTGACTACTTCCTACATTTTTCTTGTTTTTTTTTAGAAAAAAAATATTTGTATGAGTTCAAATAATTGCATCATTTTGAAATTTTGGAATATCATTTAGTTTTCAGTAACTTGATCAGATCACCTTTAGTAGGAACTTTGATAATTTACCATTATTAAATTATGCCATTATTTTAAATAAAGATGATTTCATGTGTGTTAGTGTTTACCTGAGTGGATGTACAAGCACCATGTGCATGAAGTTCCCAAGGAGGCCAGAAGAGGGAGTCTGATCACCTGGAGCTTGAGTTAGATGGTTGTGAGCTGCAATGTGGGTGCTAGGAGCTAAACCTGGGTCTTCTGCAAGAGCAGCATGTGTTCTTAATCACTGAGCCATTTCTCCGGTCCATATGCCCTCTTTTTAAAATTATTCTAACTGCACGAGAGAAAAAAATTGTTGTACAACTATAGAGTGTTGAAATTTTCTGAGAAATTTGAGAAGGTGACCACTGACCGGTGAAAAATTATGGACTATTGTCTTTACACTTTTCCACTTTGTAAGGTAGAAAAGTTTGAATGATTACTTCTGTTCTGAGCAAATAGGGATGTGAAGAATGAACATGAAAAATAAAAACTGACTCAGTGATGGTGACAGTGACCGTCTTGGAAGGTAGTCCATGAATGCACAGCTGTTTTTTGTTAAAATTACATCCACATTATAGACACTAAATATTTGTAATCATCGGGAGAATGCAACTGAATAATGAAAGTAAATCAGTTTTCCTTGTTTGTGAAAAAATATTTGGAGGTATGTACTTGTGTCTAGTGTAATAAATTTGAAAACTTAATTTTTTGTGGGGGTGTAATGGTTGCTACATAGCGTCAGTCTATCTAAATATTTAAATTTCTGATATTTTATGATGTTTTTCTAGGCTTAAAAATTTTCTGATATAGTGTCAAAATGTAAATTGACAATTTTTATTCTATATTATATGAAATTAAAAATGTGTCGAGTATGTATTATGTTAGATCATAATATATACATATATTTTAAACCAATTTGGGTATATAGTTTCAGAGTTTATGAGTAGAGGGAAGGATATGAAATCAAATTAGTTGAGGATTTTAATTGTTTTTCTTCCATTTTCCCTTCTGGTCATTCTCACTGCACCTACCTTTATCACCTATACAGTAGGTACAATTCATTGTCCACAGACTGCTGTTTGCTAGCTAGAAAAAGAACATGAGGCCTCTACTCATTTAATTTTTAATTCCCTATATTTTTATTTTAATCTACACATTTATGAATTTAAATTAATAATATAACACTGCAATATAATGAATGTAAAGTTTTCACCACCTTCAATATTTTAAAATATTGTATTTATCATTTTTAGTTTATGTGTATGCGTGTATTGCCTGCACTAGGTGCACCCATGGTGCAGTGCCCATGGAGATAAGAAGAGGGTGAGGAATCCTCTGGAACTTGACTTACAGGTGTTTGTTAACTGCCATGTGGGTGCTGGAAATTGAACACTAGTCCTCTGTAAGAGCGGCCAGTACTTTTAATCACTGAGCCATCTCTCCAGTGACCCCTACAATAGTTTAAATTTGGTAAAATTTGTATTTATTGATGACATACAATGAGATAGAACCTTTTGTTTAAAAGCCTAGTGCCTTCACTTAACATTATTTGTCTCATGCTCAACATTTCTTGAACTTTATTCAACCTAGAACAACTCGGCGTCAATGTTGTTGTCATTCACAGAATTTTCCCACGGGACAGGGTAATTTTGGCTGTCATAATTCTTAAACAATTTGAACATCAGTAACATAAGAAGTTGGGCATTAATTTAGGTGTTTTTTTTTCTGTTCTGCCACACTTCACTATAATTTTCTACTTTAGCAGATACTATAAATTTGATGAACCAATCAACTTCTTAAAAGATAGTAATAGTTCACAGAATTAAGCCTAAAAGTAGTATGCACTCTAATTGTAAAGAGATGAGTGAAACCCAAGTAAAATGAGCACTGCTGATCTGTGTCACGTGACCAGTCTACTTACTCTTTCACTGTAAATTCATTAAAGGAAATATACCCAAGTTTTGCATGAATGTTCCCACTTAAACATAGATCATTAAAAGTAAAGTCAATTTTTTAGTCTTAAATATGTTGACATTGATAAGAAGAAATAATATTCTAAAGTCTATGGGAAGTAATAAACAATGTAATTGATTACAAGTAACATAACCTGCAAGTGTAATTTATGTCGATATCTTGACCAAATATGTTTGGTGTCTTTCCTCATTTGAAACTCTTTCATGATGCTGCTATGAGCCAAAATATGCCATTATAATAAAGCCATACTAAAATTATATTTTGTAGCCTTCATTATAGTATTATTGTATGTCTTTTAATATATATTCCCAGATGCTTCTTGTGACAATATGTGTGTTTTGTTGGTATTATCTCTATGAAATTTATTTCAAGCACAGATGTTGATGCTGAGTTTTGTTCTCCAGATTGATGGGCTACTGCTTCACAAAAGTCTATGTCTAATGGCTCCTTGGAAATAGGCTAGAATAGACCGAAACACTTGATCCTTCTGTATCACTGAAATAATAGTTCGCAGGTTAAAGGGGTGCCCTTGAACCACATCTCTCTTTTATTGAACCTTTTTCATTTTTCCACTTGAGCAAGACCTACATGTTTTGGGAGTGATGGCTCAGGTTCACTTCATTCATAAAGCTAATGTGCTAGGAATCGGAGAGTGAAATGTTCCAGGGTGTAGGGTGAAGGGGTTATTTTATTAGGGTAATTTAAAAGCAAGGATAGGGAAATTTTCTACTTACGATTCCTCATATGCATTCAAGAAAAAAAAAAGATAGGTGTTAAGGGAGGGGAGAAGGGAGAATTATCCTCTTTTGAGGATCTTCACATTGGTGGGCTTTTCATGGTCCAATGGAAGGTCACACACCTATGCACATAGGGGCGAGACTAATTGTGCTTAGTGGACGTGAAGTTGGGATGAACGTGAAGGGAACATGCGGATGATGTTGAAGGGAAGAAATAGAGACTAAATATGATCATATTCCATTGTGCATATGTAGGGAATCCTCAAGAATAAAGGCTAAATTGTAATAATCACACATTCCAAATAGCTAGAATTTTTCTGAGTTCCCATTTCACCTTCCTCCTCACTCCTGATTCTTTGTGTAAAACAGTACATTTCCATAGGGTTCTGTCCACTGCAGTGATTCTGTAATTTACAAATTTCAAGCATTAGGCAGAAAATGCTATTCTGAATTGTAATCTATTATTTACAAAACGTATGTGCCATCTGAAATTTTCTCATGAAAATTATCGTGAAATTTGGAAGTAAGTTAGGATGACTTATTTTATACTATCAATGGAAAATAAATTTGAGGGAGACAGAAAACATCTTTTTCTTTGTATCAGTGTTCAGGGTATATACGGTGCATGGATTTATACAGTTTTTATCTCAAAGAACAATTTTAGTTTAGATATAGATAGTAAGGTTTTACCAGCATATGTAATTTATGCATTGACATGTTACAAATTGTAGTTTCCCAAATATAACTCTCACCAAACAGATATACAGAGTTGATCCCACAAGTCAGTGTGTCTGTCACTGACATTAGGAGAGAATTTCACTGTGTTTTAACCACACTTTCCTAGATAATAATAATAATAATAATAATAACAATAATAATATTACATTTATTTGGTGTATGAGAGAGGGAGTATGTGTAAATGGGGGTGCTATGTATAGCGGTCAGATGGCAACTTGTAGGAGTCAGTTTGCTCCTTTTAAGATCTGGGTCCCCAGGACTGAACTCAGGGCTTTGGGCTCAACAGCAGGTGCTTTAACCCATTGCCATGGTGCTGGTCCTGAATGCTTTCTGTATTCTGTACTCCTCTGTAGTGGTTTTGATTCCTTGGTTTTGTGCTGTCAGGAGACTTAAACCCAGGGCCTGGTGTACACTAGGCACATGCATTAAGATCCTGCTACATCCCCAGCTCTCTGCTCTGTTTCAGAAACTTGAGCATGCTAAAAAGCAAGAAATAGCTTTTAAAAGCTTTAACATATACTGAGATTTTAGGTACACAATTATCAATTCAATAACTAACCATATTTAAGAAATGGGAGACAAGCAGAAAGAACTTTTCACTGACAGAGTTAATAAAAGAAAAATAGATGTATTAGTCATTTTGTGTGATTAGAACAAAATAACTATATCTAGGTAACTGTATAGCTAAAAGT